TTTCTGGCTAATTGTATCCCTGGAAAGAATGAATTCCAAAGCAAATGCAGAGCAAGTAAGAGGCCTCATGTGTCTTATGTGTGCCACCTTTGAGACGGTTCCCTGAGAGACACCACTGGGACTCAAATCGACAGATTTGTTTCTGTCTAAAGATTAATGTCCCTGTTCCCAACAACTCCTGCCTTCATCCTCCTGGAAATTTAAATTTAATTAAAAAATTATGCATTTTCAAGCCTTTGAATAAACAGTTTTTGATATTTGTGTGAGTTATTTTTCATTGTTGTGACTAATATACCCGATAGAAGCAACTTAACGGAAGGGTGATTGACTTTAACTTGGAGTTCCAGGGGATTTCAGTCTGTCACAGCAATGGTGGCATTAGTGCAGTGGGGACATATGGACAGCCCTCCCATGGTGGCAGACAGGGAGTGTGGAGTAAGGTCTGGCCCAGTGACTCACTTCACCAGCCAAGCCCCACTGCGTTGAAATTGTCTTACAAGTGGGGGATTTATTGTTCAAAACGTGAACCTGGGGGGACGTCTTGAATCACACCCTAACAATGTTGTCAGTGGATCATCTATTAGGTACCAAATGATGTCCAGCAGCCTACCTGAATCATTTTTCCTGGTTAGGTTCAACTTAAGAAGAGTTTTTGGGTAGGGGGCTGGAGAGGTGGTATAACAGGAGCATGTTTGGGTTTTCCAGAGGACCCAAGTTGGACTTCCTGCACCCACATTGGATGGCTCACAATCACTTATCACTCCAGGGGACTCTGATGCCCCCTCCTGGTCCCTTTCAGCACTGCACTCATGTACACTTACCTACACACATGTATAATTAAAATTAAAACAAATCTTATCTATTTTTTAAATTTTATGAATGAGTATTTTGCCTGCATGTGTGTATGTGCACCACATGAGTGCTTGGTGCCTGAAGAGGCTAGAAGTTAGTGTCAGATCCCCTGGAACTGGAATAACAACAGTTGGTTGTGCTGGGAATCGAACCCAGGTCCTCTTGCAAGAACCATTCATGCTTTTAGCTGCTGAGCCATCTCTCCAGACCCCCTAAAATTAAGTCTTGAAAAAGTGTTTGGAATGTACTTTGTGTGTGCTCCGTTTGTGATATCAGTTCTCACATTTGCTCGCTGAAGCAAGGCAGAGGGATGGGATCCCCATGCCGGAGGAAATGCAGTAGGAGAAAGCCCCTCATGTCAGGGCATCAGTCACTTCTCATCACGAGAGCCCACATCCATCCATCCTTTGCTCCCTGACGAGGTGTGAAATAACGAAAGGAGGTTGCTTAAAGTGTCAGTCATCTGGGTCTATTGGTAGCACTGTTTGGGATGGAATTCGCATGTAATAGAACTTCGGATCACAAATGAATACATTCCCAGGCAGAGCTCCAACACCCGTGATTCATACAGGAGCTTGCCACACTAATGGAGCTGGTGCAGTTCTCTTGATAACACTCTAGACACAGAGAGATAATTTTTCCCCCAGTCCTAACTTGAATACGTTAGTGTGTGTGGCTCACCCTGCTCTTTTCCCATCCAGCATCCAGGAATGGCCCTCTCAAACCTTCCCTGGACTAGAGGGAGGAAAGAAATTTGCTTCTCTCATATCTGACTCCTTCCTTCCTGGGGCAGAGGAAGATGCTACCCAAGGACTAACAGTGGCCTGGCGGGGGAGGGTGTGTGTGGTTACCCAGGGCTCCATGGTGGTTGGGGCTCCCTCAGAAGGCTGCCAGTAGGGGACTGACCAGCTTTGGTGCTGCCCCACACCTGGGCTTTATTCAGCCGTATTCTGGAAGCCTGGTGAGCTTGAAGTGTGAGATGTGTCCATGGTGGCCTGAGAAATGCCATAGGGACCTTGCAATGACACTGAATTCAATGCAATTTCTCCACCAATCTGCTTTCAAGCCTCCTGATGGTGTCTAGAGCTGGGATTCTTGGTTCAAATATGTCGTTAGACCTGCCTCTGTGTATTTGCTAGCCCCTCTTTATTCGATAAACCAAGAGCAGATGCTGGATTCAGAGCATTCCGCAGGCAACGATATTCAGCTAGTGCTAAATAACACCACTTAAAATGGCATTTACTGTATCATTTCATTGTATTTATGACAAGTGATACTGATTTCCCTTTATGGTCATGATAAAGATTCCTTCTAAATAAATTTCTTTAGATAAAGAGACCCAGAAAAATATTGAGTGAATAAGACATGTTGGCTTGTGGGAGGGACCTGAAGGTGCTGTGTGAGTAACAGCGGCCTGGGAAAGAGGCTGGGTGGCTGTACTTGGAACTCTTGTATTGTTTCAGAAATCATTGTGGCTCTGCATGGATTCAAAGCTATTTGAAAATACTGCTGCCATGTACAATTATTGTGGGCCAATTAAAAATAAAACTACACCCCCGCCAAGCCCCAAAGACATGATGAATGCTTGGAGTGATGGATATGCTAATTACCTTGATTTGATTATCACATAATGCATGCATGTATTGAAACACCACACTAAACTTAGAAATACGAACAATTGCTATGTGTCAATTAAACAAATTAAAAACCACGGAAAGCTATGTGTGATGATGAATGGCTCTAATCCCAGCACTTGGAAGACGGAGTGAGACAGGAGGGTTTTGAGTCTGAGGCCAGCTTGGACTATGTTGTGGACCCTGTCTTGAGAAACCCCAAACAAAAACCCCAAGCAAAACAACCCACTGACCAATCTCCCTCTATTTTCAACTGGAAAAGGAAAAAAAAAAGTTCTCTGTTTAGAATTTGGAACAGGGGCTGGAGAAGTGATGGCCCAGTGGTTAAAGGCGCTTACTGCTCTTTCAGAAGAATGGAATTTGCTTCCCAGCTCCAGGGTAAGGCTGTTTACAATCACCTGTAATGCCAGTTCCAGGGAATCTGATGCCCTCTTCTGGCTTCCACAAGCATTGCACTCACATGTGTGTCCATTTGCACATGCATGCTCATGCTGGAACACACACACACACACACACACACACACACACACACACACACAAACTTTAAAAAAATTTAAAAAAATCTAAAACTTGGAATATGTAGAACATACACAAATATAAAAGCAACAGAAAAAAAGAACCTTGTCCTAAGTGGGCATTCTCTAGAAACAGCCACTGTCAGCATCTTGGATAACGTCATTTTTGCCTTTTAACACACAGCAAGGCACTCATCCTCTTTAAAACCAAAACTGAGGGCGTGTGGACACAGTTTTAGAGTCTGCTCCCCCTCTTCCTTTTCTCTTTCTGAGCTGTGAACATTTTCCCAAGTCATGGTTTCTGGGATGCTCGCTTCTCACCATTTGGTTCAGACCAATCTGCAAACAGTCACTGATGCCCATTCTGAGACGTTTAGGATACACTGGCACCCAAATCAAAGGCTTTGCCCCTCTGAGTTTTCATTCTAGGTATTTTTTTTTTTGTAAAACACAATTTATTCAATCAGTGCCTTGTAGCTGGAGACTTAGCGTGGTTAATATTGTAAGTAAATAGTGCGGAAGCTGGCTTTCTTCAGCCTGAGTTCTTGGCACACTTCTGTTTCCTCTAGAGCAGTGTCTCTCAACATGTAGGTCTCCACCCCTTTGGGGTCGAATGGCCCTTCCACAGGGGTGACCTAAGATGGTCAGAAAACACAGACATTCACATTATGATTCCTAGCAGTAGCAAAATTATAGTTATGAAGTAGCAACACAATATTTCTATGGTGTGTGTGTGGGTCACCCCAACATGAGGAACTGTATTAAAGGGCTGCAGCATTGGGAAGAACCACTGCTCTCAACTAGAGAAGCTGTGGAAGCAGAAGGAAATGTGGACTTTTCAAAGCCCACTGCTGTGTGCATGTTTCTTCTCATGAACGTGTGAACGTGTGTGTGAGCGTGTGTGTGTGTGTGTGTGTGTGTGTGTGTGTGTGTGTGTGTGTGTGCAAGTGGAGGCCAGAGGACAACATCTGGAATCTTCCTTTATCACAGTCCATCTTTTAAAAAGATATTTTTATTTATGTGTGAGTTCCTGCCTGTGCCAGAAGAGGGCATCAGATCTTTCAGATCTAGAGTTGTAGGTAGCTGTGAAATATTTGATAAGGGGGAGCTGGGACCTGAACTTGGGTCGTCTGGAAGAGCAAGCAATAGTCTCCATTTATCTATCTATCTATCTATCTATCTATCTATCTATCTATCTATCTATCATCTATTATCTATTATCTATCTATCTATTATCTATCTATCTATTATCTATCTATCTATCTATCTATCTATCTATCTATCTATCTATCTATCATTTTTCTCTGTTTTCAAATCTGGAACTTTCTAGCTGGTTAGCCTGGCTAGACAGTCAGCTCCAGGGACCCTCCCAAGTCTAGGGTTCCAGCCACACACAGCCTTTTACATGGGTGCTAGGGATTTGAACCCAGGGCATTATGTCTGTGCAGCAATTACTTTACCATCTCCCCTGCCCTTCGTGAGACCGTTTAACATACGTGAACACCCTTTGCCACAGAGTACCTTTGTATTTGGGGCCCATTTTTGAACAGTTTGAACTGTTGAAGTTTGGCAGTTCTTTACATATTCCCCATACTAGTCCTTTGCCAGCTGTGTGGTTTGCAACTATTTCTTCCTATACACAGAGTGTTGGCTTAACTTCTTCATAGGTTTTTTTTTTTTCAGAGTAAAAGAGTTTTAACATTTTGATGAAGTCCTGTTTATTGGTTTCCTCCATTTGACTTCAGCTTTTCAGAGTACATGACTTAATAACACAAACCAGGATTTCATTTAAAATAGGTGTTTGTAGCTGGGCATGGTGGTGCATGTCTGCAGTCCCAGCACTCAGGAGGAGGCTGAGGCAGGAACGTTCTGATTTCAAGGGCATCCTGGGCTACACAGTGAATCTCTCTCTCTCTCTCTCTCTCTCTCTCTCTCTCTCTCTCTCTCTCTCTCTCTCTCTCTCTCTTAAAAAAAAAGAAAGAAAAATCTATTTCCCGAGGACCCATTAAACACCAAGAGGTTGTTTAGGAGAAGATTGGCCACAGTGAGGAAAGCATGTAGACCAAGTCTCTGTGCAGCTAGAAAGGAACTGAAAATACAATTTCAGGGAGATGGAGAGATGGCTCAGTAGTTAAGAGCACATTCTGCTCTTGCAGAGGACCTGGGTTCAGTTCTATTATCCTCATGGTGAGTCCCTGAAGAACATCATTTATGTAGAATGAAAAAAGCCAACCAAACATAGGGAATGAGCATAAAGGCAGACTATGGGTGGGGAGAACTTGGCACTGCAGTGTGGGAAAGCTGAGTGGCATGGAAATCCTGGGCAGTTGGGACTGGAGAACCGAAGACCCTATCGGTGGACTGGGGAGGCAGTGATGGGAGATGAAACACTCTGAAAGCAATGGCAGCCAGGCTAGTTTCACTGTATGGAAGCCTCGTGGGGGCTGGGCATGGGCCAGTGGGGGAAGCACTTGCCATGCGAGCATGAGGGCCTCAGTTCAAATCCCCAGCACCCATAACAATCTGGACACCTGGCATGTGTCTCTAAGTTGGTTTCTCTTGTCGAGATAAAATTCTGACCAAAACAAACTTAGGAGGAAAGGGCCTATTTCACCTCACAAGTTACAGCCCATCATGGAGGGGAACCAAAGCAGGAACTCAGAGGCAGGAACTGAAGCAGGGGTTGTGGAGAATGCTGATTACTGACTTTCCCAACTACCTTTGTTTTATAGCTTAGGCCCTCCCCCTGGGGATGGCACCACCCACAGTGGGCTAGGCCATTAATTAGCGGTCCAAAAAATGCTTCACAGATGTGCCTACAGGCCGATGTATTGGAGGCAATTCCTCAGTTGAGATCCCTTCTTCCTAGATGTCTAGGTTTGTGTTAAGCTGACAAAAACTGGTGAGCATATAGGTCAGTTGGCCTGGTACAGTCAATGGTGAACAATAAAGAGGGAGACACGGTCTCAAACAAGGCAGGGGTCCAGGATCCATACCTGAGGTGGTCCTCGGACCTCCATGCTGTGTCACCCACACACCCATGCTCACAAATAAGCACACATGAACAGGCACATACATACATCAAACACAATCAGGCACATGTACAAAGATAAAAAAGAAAGGCATCATAAGCAATTAACTCAAGTTTACACAAAACATAGTCCCATAATGCATTAATATCAACTCTCCATTTATGTGACCAAGAAGCTGGGCACCTAGCTTGGAGGTTGGCTTATTTACAGATTGAAGGCTAGACCACTCTTGTTTCCTTCTGTTTGAGGTAGTGATGTTTTTTAGCCCAGGCTGGTTTCAAACTTCCTTTGGCCTCATGAGTGCTGGTATTACAGGCAGGTACCACTGTGCCTGCTTCAGAATACCCATTACTTAAAAACAACAACAACAACAACAACAACAACACCCAAATATTTCCCCTCCTGCCTCTCAGATCTCCTGCATAAATCAAGGTGGATTGGTGGCACCCACATGGCAGCTCACAACCTTCTTCAACTCCAGTTCCAGGGGAATCCAATGCCCTCTTCTGGCCTCACTGGGTACTGCATGCATATGGCATCATTAACTCATGCAAACACACACACACACACACACACACACACACACACACACACAGCAAGAGTAAAACAATAATGATAAGAGACAAAACGAAAAGATGGAAAGGGGGCTTGTTATAGAGGCCAGTGGTACAACATGTGCCCAGCACGCACGAGGCCAGCAATGTAAAAAACAAACCACAGTGATAATAAAGGAAAGATCTAAATGATAATGGCACAGTGTCTCAAGGAAAAGACAACGGTGGCTCCACCAGACATGCTAAGTTAGTGCAAGAATTGCCAGAGGCCTGAGGTGTAGGTGACATAGGAGTCTGGGCGGGGCAACTTTATCTGTTACTAAAGCAAGCAGACTTCACCTGTAGAAGGGGCTTAATAATAGCGTGAGGGATTGACCATTGCCCACCTTCCATCTGGACTGGGTCCCAGAAAGGTGTGTTGAAGAGCAGAGGATACTGTTTTATGGATGACTCACGTCTCATCCCAGGATGTCCCCAGAGCTCAGAAGCCTTTTTCCATTTTTACCTGTGGCACCCTCACACTCTGACAGCATCCCCCCTCCCTCTGCCCTGAGCTGCCCCCTCTCTGGGTAGGATGGGTGTTTGTTGTAGGTAAGCGCCCCCAGGGCTGTACACCCTGCAAGTTGGCCCTTTGTGGGGGCTGAAGGGAATAGGCCAGTTGTACCACCAGCTGTCTGCACACAAACTGCTTAATTTCAAAATCATGCCACAGACAGAATGAAAACGCTACACACTCAAACAAAACTGAGTGAAATGAACAAAGAGAAAAATCTTTAGCACAGAGCAGAGTGATAATGTGTCTGGTGCTGCGAGGAACCCGGGAGCTATGTACGGGTTCCTTTTCAGTAGTGCTGGGCTCTTTGGATGATAATCCTTCGCACCTGTTTGCCCTCCTCAGAGGAGAAGCGATATGTCAAAAGTACCGTCTCCCTTGCTGGTCTGTCCTGAGAAACTGGTCGAGCATTGGCTGGGGAACGCTGCAACCCTCCCCGCTTATTTTAACTAGAGGGTGGGAAGAGAGAATGCAGACTTCCTTGAGGATGTCATGGGTGCCTTTCGCCCATCTCTAGGACTTGCTCCCTCCCACCCAGGGTGTTAGGATATTTAGTACACAGTGCCAAGCTGGGGTATCTTCGGGGGCATTGAGATATCCCACTTCACTATCATATACACTTCAAGACAGAGCTTCAAGTGAAACGGGGAGCCACCCTCCTTTTCCCTGTTGTGGTTTATCTGTTGTTTGTTCTTTGTCGATTTCATTCATGCAGATAATATATCTTTATCATGGCCACCCCCTCCCTCCAACACCCTCAACACCCTCTCCGTCCCACTTTCACGTTCCCTGTTTATTGTCCCTGAATCCCCCTGAGCCCAGTCAGCACTGCCTGCGGGAGGGGCAGCTGATCTCGCTGGCTTGATCTTGTTCAGGAAACCACAGCTTCCGGGAGTTGATGACTGCCACAGCCACGCCATGTCCAGAACACAGCATTTCACGGCCCCATCCCCATTCTCTGGTAAGACCTTACCTTCTTTCTGCCCCCTCTTCGGCAATGTCCCCCGAATTCTGTTGCAGTGTTTGAAAGGCTTCTGAAATGCCTAGAGGGGCGGAGAACTTTAGTTACAGTCACCAGGTAGCCTGGGTGGCTGTAGGATGCCAGGGTGTTGCACAGTGGTTCAGAATGAACCTCCCACTCTGTGTGTCTTCCCACTTCTCCTGAGCAGGTCCCTGCTGCTCGACCATCTTGATGTTATTGGAGGTGTTGGCAGGTATCTGTTCTAGATCTGTGTAGGCTTGGATTCTTGGGAGACAGGAGTAAGACATCGTCCTTGGTGATGTTCCGCCCGCCCCCTATTTTGAAGGCAGAGTAAAGTCTCATTATCCGCACATCTTCTTGGGTGCAATAGAACCCCCGCTACAAAGTGGGCGCTAGTTGGATTTAGGAAATGGTGCTAGTGTCCTGTTCTTTCTCTGTTGTTCTTTTTAAAAGGACTATTTTTTTAAAATTTTAAGTGTGTGTGTGTGAGTATGTGAGTGTGTGTGTGTGTGTGTGTGTGTGTGTGTGTGTGTGTGTGTGTCTGTCTGTCTGTCTGTCTGTCTGTCTGTGGAGACTAGAACAGAGCACTGAATCCCTTGGGACTGGAATTACAGGGGGTTTAGAGCCTCCCTACCTGGGTGTTGGAGACCAAACTCAGACCCTGGAAAAGCTGCAAATGCTCTGAACCACTGAGCAGTCTCTCCAGCCCTCTTCTCAACCTCTTCCTTTGCTCTCATCCTGGACTCAACCCTCACTCCTTCAGCCAAGTAGTTTCCGGCCAGCTCTGCATGTCTGGTGTATTGCCACATGCTAAGGATGCAGAGACGTGACAGAGCAGCTCCCTGGGTGGGGGTGGGGTTTACCTGGGGCGTGGGTCTCCAGGGTTGCGGGGCTGCCTTTGGCTTGAGTAGAATGACTAGACTGGGTCTATCTCAGTATCTGTGGCTTGTCAGCACCCCCCAGATGTGCAAAGACAGGGAAGGGGGTAGGAGACATCAGACCCTTGTGTTTCCCAAAAAGAGGTGGTAGGCATATGGGTTTCAGAGCCTGTGGGAACTCAGTGCATACCCAGCTGTGTTGAGAATATGCTAGTGGTTGAGAGCTCTGATTTTTTTATTAATGGAGTTTGACTTGGGGGTGGGAATCTATAGACAGGCACAAGGGCTTTGCTTCCCACAGAGAACTATTGTGCTCACTATGGATGAATCACCCCCCAATCTATTTTCCGCTCTCTTCAGTCAAGGATGGGTCCCTGCAATGTGCCTAACAGGGAGCAGAACGCCCACCTCATCCTTGACCCCCCTCCTGCCTGGATGGTATTTCTAGGACCATGGACTCCTGGAAGAATAAGACAGCGTATGGTGGTGGGGAGTAAGGACATCTTATTTTAGAGATGGAGGGGGGAATTTAGCTTGTCCCCAAGGCAGTACTCCAGCTTTGCCACCCAGGCCCTCACTTCTAGCAGGGAGGGCTTTGTTCCCACACCCTCCCTCCCAGCCCTCTGAGCTACAGGGGCTTCTGGCTTTGGTTTCTAACTTTCTGTTTTCTCTCCCCAGTGAGCTGCTTCCAGGAATTCTCACCTTCCCCAAGCCACCAGGGGAAGCCCCTCCTCGCCTCATTTGACTCCATTACACGACTCCTTCCTCTCTGCAGCTCCAAACAGAGAAGTGCGCTGAGCAGGAAAACTTATTTTTTCTCTCTCCTCCCTAGAAGCCAGGCTTGATCCAAATGTTCCTATGGTAACATTAATTCTCCCAAGTCGCACCTACTGTATAATAAGCTGTATATATAGCAGGCCCACTGGGATCCAAATACCCCATATGTGCAAGCGAATGAGTTAATGCTGCCGTGAGAGTTAGCAGCGTCCCGCTTCCTGAATTTCATACTTTCAGTTACAACCTGTGTTTGTGGGGAGCTCTGGATGCAAGCTTTGGGGGAGCAGTGGAGGTGGGCTTTGGGCTGGCAGGGCTTCACTTTCATTGCAGAGTGAAGGCTGTCTCTGGAGACGTTTTGAAGTTCCAGATGGAAATAGACTTGGGGATACACTAGTATCCTTTCTTGTCCCCTTGGAGCTGTTTCTAGACTTCTGCACTGACTGTCTTAGCCTCCACCGTGATCTCTGTGACAGGAAAGCTTGACGGTAGGGACCTCTGAGTGAGAGAAGGAATTAAGACTGCAGACAGATGGGGCCAGCCAGCCGGGCCTAAGGTCTGATGTCTACGGAATCCTGTGGGTAGGGGGATGTCCTGTGTCCTCAGAGGCTGATGGGAAATGGAGATTGTTGGGCCCTTAGGAAAGTTTGGGCCTTTTATGGGCCACTGGGCTATTGCTTATCCTGTGTAGTGTTAGTGAGGAAGGAACAGCATAGATAATAGTGAGGACAATGGTGGTTAAGGGCTAGTGTTCAATTACAGGCCACTGTGTGCTGGCTGTTTTCTGTCAGCTTGGCATAAGCTGGAGTCATCTGGGAAGAGGGGATTTCAACTGAGAAATCGCCTCCATCAGATGGTTCTCTGGACATGTCTGTGGGGGCATTTTCTTGGTTAATGATTGATGTGAGAGGGCCCAGCTCACTGTGGGTGGTGGCACCCTTGGCAGGTGGTCCTGGCTTGTATAAGGAAGCAGGCTGAGCAAGCCATGAGCAAGCTTACTCGCAGCAAGCCAGTAAGCAGTGGTCCTCCGTGATCTCCGACTCTATTCCTGCCATACGTGCCCTCTGTGGTGGATGGTGCTGTGAGAGTAGTGAGTGGAAATTAACCCTTTCCTCCTCCCCAGGTTGCTTTGGGTCAGTGTTTTGCGTGTGCAGCCTGTGTCTGTTCTTCTAACAGCCTGGGAAGCACGTTCCGAGCTTGTTTTCCACTGTCGATTTGAGGGAACTGAGGCTTGGAGTCAGTAAGTCACTGTTTCGGGAGCTGGAGTCAGGCCCCTCAAACCTGTGCTCTCAGTACACCCACCTACCTGCCTCACTCTCTCGGGTGTGGCTGGCGGAGAGGCAGACTCAGAGGGCTCCCTTGGCTGGGATACACCCCTTTAAGTCCTGACTTACTTCTGCATCCAGGGCCTTGGAGCCTGCTGTTGGGTTTTCAGGCATAGACGCCAGAAGGGTATGTGCTGAGGCACACCGTGGGAACTTCTGCACATACTGTAAGCCCTCAGCTGTAGAGATGCAGCTGCCTGTGCGTTGGTAGGAAAGGAGACGTGAGCTAGGTTCCCAGTTGTTCATCTCCCTCAGGCCAGCACACACACCTCCCTTGCTCACCAACCTCAGAGTGTACCATTCTCCTGTGTCAGGAGAGTCCACCCACGTTGTTCTCAGATTTCCTTGTGGGAGTTGTGTCCCAAGCATTCTAAAAAACACCGTCTTCCCCCAAGACTCTGTGTGTGTGTGCGTGTGTGTGTGTGTGTGTGTGTGTGTGTGTGTGTGTGTGTAAGAAACATGTTGTAAATAAGCGGAAAGGATGAGTAAGAGGGAAACACTGGGGATCCTACCTCCAAGGCCTGGACACTAGGGAGAGGTAACCCAAGGAAGAGAGAATCTTGTGCTTCCTGGGTCACTGTGGGTGACCTTGCTTCTCAGAGGCGACCACAAGCATGCCCCTGCATGTGCACACACATGCATATGCCCTTTACATGACCACATGCGCACAGAGGTACCTGGGCTCAGCCTGTGCTGCAGGTCAGCAGCCTCTCAAGGTCCCCTAAAAGTCCCATCCATTCTGTACTGCTGGTTGCCTTGGCAGGTGACCCAGGCTTCCAGCCTCTGTTGGACCAGGGGCTAGGACTCTGAACACCATCAACCACCAGAGGGTGCTGCGCTTCAGTCCACTGCCTGCTCTAGGCCTGAAAGGGACTTTTAAAACTCCCAAGAATTACCCTAAAATCAGAGGGCAAAGAGCCCAACATGTTTCTCGCCTTTGCTTGCTTCCTGTGTTTAATGAAAGACCTTTTCCACTCTGCCCACAGCCCACGGACACTCTGAAGGGACATAAAACTCAATAGATACTCACAGATATAAAAATCCCCTCTAAAAAAATTTTGGGTCTGAGCCTTTTTTTATGGCCCCGTATGGGAGTGTTCTTGGAAGGTGATTTTGGGAAATGAAAGGGTCTGTTTGTCCCCTGGTAGAGCAGAGCTGAGCCCTGGGAGCCCCTGCTCTCCTTTTGTGCCTCTGGGCCTCATCTTCTGCAGAGATCTGGCATAGCAGTAGGGCTGCAGGCACATGGCAGGTACTCAGGGATGGATGGGCAGTGGTGGAGGCACAGCAAGGTGCCTGGGGGCTCTAAAGCCAGAGCTGGACACTGTGCCTGATGTCACACTCACTTAGGGACCAGCCCAGTAGGTACAGCTACAGTGGGAAGATGCCATGAAGTACCCAGTCTGCTGTGGATGACTGGTGTTTCTTCAGGTCACTCCTATACAAATGGCATTGGAGACAGGGACAAGATGAGGTTCATCTGGGGACAAGTGGCCAAGCATGACATGGGGAATTGTGATTGGTCACAGACTGAAGTTGTCTGGTGTATTGTTGTTTCAGCCTCCCGACACCAACTTGGATCTGTCTTGTAGAAGACAGTTGGCAGAGCGGTCTTCTACAGAAAAGGCAAATCAGTTGCTTGTTTTTATTTTCTGCAGTGCTAGGGATGGAACTCAGGGCCCTGGATGTGCTAGGCAGGGGCTCTACCACTGAGCCACACCCCAGCCCCTCACTGGGGGATTCTAGGCAGGGGCTCTACCACTGAGCTACACCCCAGCCCCTCACTGGGGGATTCTAGGCAGGTGCTCTACCACTGAGCCACACTCCAGCCCCTCACTGGGGGATTCTAGGCAGGGGCTCTACCACTGAGCTACACCCCAGCCCCTCACTGGGGGATTCTAGGCAGGGGCTCTACCACTGAGTCACATCCCCAGCCCCTCACTGGGGGATTCTAGGCAGGGGCTCTACTGCTGAGTCATATCTTTAGTCTTCACTGGTGAATTCG